ATTTTTTTTTTTTTTTTTTTTTTTTTTTTTTTTTTTTTATTTATTTTATTTATTTTCTTCTTTTTTTTATTTATATTTATATTGTTATTATTTTTTAATAAAGAAGAAGATATTCTTTTTCTTCTTCTTTTATTTATTAATTTATTTAATTTATTTATTTTATTTATTAAGGATATATTCTTCTTATTAATTAAGGAGACACCTGGATATACGGAGGCAGGTCTTAGTCTTTGTTGTATAAATCCTTGACGAGCAGCAGCAGCAGCAGCTAGCTGCTGCTGCTGCTGTTGTTGTTGTTGCTGTTGTTGTTGTTGCTGCTGCTGCTGCTGCTGTAGGAGTGCTAGCTGCGGATGCAGAATTGTCTCCTGAGGGTACACAGCTAGCTGCGGAGAGACAACAGCTAGCTGCTGCGGAGCGACAATAGCTAGCTGCTGCGAAGGGACAATAGTTAGCTGCTGCTGCCCAACAGAGACACTAGCAGCAGCTAGCTGCTGGTGCAGGGATAATACTTGAGGGACAACAGTAAGCTGCTGCTGAGTTATATACTGCTGCTGCTGCTGCTGCTGAGGTATAATTCCTATCTGCTGCTGCGGCTGCTGCACATAAGCTAGCTGCTGCTGAGGTATATAAGTTAGCTGCTGCTGTATACCTGTCTCCTGCTGTATAATTGTCTCCTTAAGGATAACTGTCTCCTGAGGGATAATAGTTAGCTGCTGCTGCTGCTGCTGTTGCTGCTGCTGGTGGTGGATAGGGATACCTAGCTGCTGCATAAATGTCTCCCCTGGGCTAACTGTCTCCTGAGAGATAACAGTTAGCTGCTCCTGCTGCTGCTGCTGCTGTTGCTGCTGCTGCTGGTGGATAGGGATACCTAGCTGCTGCATATATGTCTCCCCTGGGCTAACTGTCTCCTGAGAGATAACAGTTAGCTGCTCCTGCTGCTGCTGCTGCTGGACAACGACGTGCTGCTGGTGGATAGGGATACCTAGCTGCTGCATAAATGTCTCCCCTGGGCTAACTGTCTCCTGAGGGATAACAGTTAGCTGCTGCTGCTGCTGCTGCTGCTGCTGCTGATGGATAGGGGTAGCTAGCTGTTGCATAAATGTCTCCCCTGGGCTAACTGTCGCCTGAGGGATAACAGTTAGCTGCTCCTGCTGCTGCTGCTGTTGCTGCTGCTGCTGGTGGATAGGGATACCTAGCTGCTGCATAAATGTCTCCCCTGGGCTACCTGTCGCCTGAGGGATAACAGTTAGCTGCTGCTCCTGCTGCTGCTGCTGTACGACGACGACCTGGTGGATAGGGATACCTAGCTGCTGCATAAATGTCTCCCCTGGGCTAACTGTCTCCTGAGGGATAACAGTTAGCTGCTGCTGCTGCTGCTGCGGCTGTTGCTGCTGCTGCTGGTGGATAGGGATACCTAGCTGCTGCATATATGTCTCCCCTGGGCTAACTGTCTCCTGAGGGATAACAGTTAGCTGCTCCTGCTGCTGCTGCTGTTGCTGCTGCTGCTGGTGGATAGGGATAGCTAGCTGCTGCATATATGTCTCCCCTGGGCTAACTGTCTCCTGGGGTATAGGAGCAGGGACAGCTAGCTGCTGCTGTATATATGTATCTGTATAGCTAGCTGTCTCCTGAGGTACAGCTAGCTGCTGGTGCTGGTGCTGCTGCTGCTGCTGTATAAGTGTCCCCTCATAGCTAGCTGTCTCCTCAGGGTTAATCACTACATAAGGAATTGTTGTCTCCTGTTGGATTTGCTGTTGCTGCAGTAACGCTGCTGCTGCTGCTGCTGCTGCTGCTTCTTGCTGCTGCTGCAATATTGTTGCTGCTGCTGCTGCTTCTGCTGCTTCTGCTGCTGCATCTGCTGCATCTGCATCTGCTGTTGTTTCCTCAGGTATAAAGTCCATAGGCATATAATCCTCTGTATCCTCATTATGTGTATATAGTGTCTCCTTTATTGTCTGCTTTATTACTGTCTCCTCCTCTATTACTATAGGTGTCTCCTTTATTGTCTCCCTTATAGGTGTCTCCCTTATTAATATAGGTGTCTCCTCTATTAATATATGTGTCTCCTTTTCTTGTATATAAGCTGTCTCCTCTATAGGTAGTATAGGTGTCTCCTCTATAGGTAGTATAGGTGTCTCCTTTTCTTGCGTCTCCTTTTCTTGTGTCTCCTTTTCTTGTGTCTCCTCTATAGGTATATATGTATCCTTTATTAATATAGTTCTCTCCTCCTTTTCTTCTTGTCTCTCCTCCTTTTCTTCTTCTTGTCTCTCCTCCTTTTCTTCTTCTTGTCTCTCCTCTTGTTCCTGTTGTGTCTCCTTTGTTTGTATAAGGAATGCTAATTGTGTCCCCTCTCGTAGTGTATACACTGTCTCCTTTTCTTCTTCTTTCTCCTTTTCTTCTTCTTTTTCCTTTTCTTCTCCTGTCTCCTTTTCTTCTTCTCTCTCCTTTTCTTCTTGTGTCTCTTTTTCTTCTTCTCTCTCCTTTTCTTCTCCTGTCTCCTTTTCTTCTTCTCTCTCCTTTTCTTCTTGTGTCTCCTTTTCTTCTTGTGTCTCCTTTTCTTCTTGTGTCTCCTTTTCTTCTTGTATTCCCTCTTGTGTATGTGCTTCCTGTTGTATAATTGTCTCCTTTTGTGTCTCCTTTTGTGTCTCCTTTTGTGTCTCCTCTTGTCTAGGTGTCTCCTTATGTGTCTCCTCCTCTATAAGTGTTTCTTTTTGTTTATTTTCTGTCTCCTCCTCCTCCTTATCTATCTCTTCCTTCTTATGTGTCTCCTCCTCCTGTTGCTTATCTGTCTCCTTTTGTTTCCTATCTCTCCTCTTTTGTTGCCTATTTTTCTCCTCTTGTCTATCTGTCTCCTGGTGTATAGGCACCTCTCCCTGTTGTATATTGGGGTGTATAGGGAGTATTCCTTGTTGTTGTATATAATTATCTAAATTGGGGTGTATAGGCAGCTGTCCTTGTTGTATATGACTATCTAAATTTGGGTGTATAGACAGCTGTTGTCTTAATAATCTTGCTGTTTGTCTTGTTATTCTTCTTTCTGTTGTTATTTCTTCCCTTATTATTCGTAACTTAGATCTACCTCCTCTTCTTCTACGGCTAGCTGGCTCGCTAGGACTAGCTAGCTCGCTAGCAGTAGCTAGCTGGGGAGCGCTAGCTAGCTGGGGAGGGCTAGCTGACTGGGGAGGGCTAGCTGAGTGGCTAGGGGTAGCTAGCTGCTGTTGTGGGGATAACGACGGATGTGCAGCTAGCTGCTGCTGCTGTTGTTCAGCTAGCTGCTGCTGCCGTTGTTCAGCTAGCTGCTGCTGCCGTTGTTTAGCTAGCTGCTGCTGCTCTTGTTCAGCTAGCTGCTGCTGAGTGGATAACTGCCGAGGTCTAGCTAGCTTGGGAGGGCTAGGTAGCTGGGGATAGCTAGCTACCGGTGGAGGGCTAGCTAGCCGTGGAGGGCTATCTGGCTCGGGGGGAGCAGCTAGCTGCCGAGGGATGGCTTGCTGCTGCTGCTGCTGCTGCTGCACAGCTTGCTGCTGCTGTGCGGCTAGCTGCTGCTGTAGAACCTGCTGCTGCTGTGCGGCTAGCTGTTGCTGTACTGCTAGCTGCTGCTGTACTGCTAGCTGCTGCTGTGCGGCTAGCTGCTGAAATGCAGCTAGCTCGTGGGCCGTAGCTAGCTGCTGCAGTGCACCTAGCTGCTCAGGCCCAGCTAGCTGCTGCACTGCGGCTAGCTGCTGCAGTGCACCTAGCTGCTCAGGCCCAGCTAGCTGCTGCACTGCGGCTAGCTGCTGCAGTGCACCTAGCTTCTGCACTGTAGCTAGCTGCTGAGGTCCAGCTAGCTGCTGAAGTGCAGCTAGCTGCTGCGCTGTGGCTAGCTGCTGAGGGGCAGCTAGTTGCTGCAGTGTAGCTAGCTGCTGCGCTGTAGCTAGCTGCTGCGGGGCAGCTAGCTGCTGCAGTCCAGCTAGCTGCTGAGGGGCAGTTAGCTGTTGGAGTGTGGCTAGCTGCTGCAGTGTAGCTAGCTGCTGCGGGGTAGCTAGCTGCTGCAGTGCACCTAGCTGCTGGGGTGCAGCTAGCTCCTGCTGTAGAGCTAGCTGCTGCGGCACAGCTAGCTGCTGCTGTAGAGCTAGCTGCTGAGGTAAGGCTAGCTGCTGCTGTAGAGCTAGCTGCTGCTGTAGAGCCTGCTGTAAGGCGAGCTGCTGCTGCTGCTGCTGCTGCAGTGCCTGCTGTAAAGCGAGCTGCTGCTGCTGCTGCTGCTGCTGCTGCAGAGCTAGCTGCTGCTGTAGAGCTTGCTGCTGCTGTAGAGCTTGCTGCAAAGCGAGCTGCTGCTGCTGCTGTAAAGCTAGTTGCTGCTGCTGCTGCTGCTGCTGCTGTAAAGCTAGTTGCTGCTGCTGCTGCTGCTGCTGCTGTAAAGCTAGTTGCTGCTGCTGCTGCTGATGCTGTTGTAAAGCTAGTTGCTGCTGCTGCTGCTGCTGCTGCTGTAAAGTTAGTTGCTGCTGCTGCTGCTGCTGCTGCTGCTGTAAAGCTAGTTGCTGCTGCTGCTGCTGCTGCTGCTGTAAAGCTAGTTGCTGCTGCTGCTGCTGCTGCTGCTGTAAAGCTAGTTGCTGTTGCTGCTGCTGCTGTAAAGCTAGTTGTTGTTGCTGCTGCTGATGTAAAGCTAGTTGTTGTTGCTGCTGCTGCTGTACACCTAGCTGCTGTGGTGCAGCTAGCTGCTGAAGTACAGCCAGCTGCTGCAGGGGAGCTAGCTGATCATTCGCAGCTAACTGCTGATTCGTAGTTAGCTGTTGTGCTGCACCTAGCTTCTGCTGTGCTGCTTGCTGCTGATTCGTAGCTAGCTGTTGCGGTGCAGCTAGCTGCTGCTGCTGCTGTTGTAGAGCTAGCTGCTGTTGCTGCTGCTGTAGAGTTAACTGCTGCTGTAGAGCTAACTGCTGCTGTAGAGCTAACTGCTGCTGTAGAGCTAACTGCTGCTGCTGCTGCTGTTGCAGAGCTAGCTGCTGCTGCTGCTGCTGTTGCTGCTGCTGCTGTAGAACTAGCTGCTGCTGCTGCTGCAAAGCTAGCTGCTGCGGCACAACTAGCTGTTGATTATTCGCTAGCTGCTGCTGATTAGCTAGCTGCTGCTGCTGCTGCAAAGCTAGCTGCTGCGGCACAACTAGCTGTTGATTATTCGCTAGCTGCTGCTGATTAGCTAGCTGCTGCTGCTGATTAGCTAGCTGCTGCTGATTAGCTAATACAAGAGAAGAAGGAGAAGGAGAAGGGAGGGCATTAAGTACTAATACAGGAGTATTAGGAGGAAGACCTTCGGTTGTATAGGCAGCTTGTTGCTGCAATTGCTGCTGCAATTGCTGCTGCAATTGCTGTTGCAATTGCTGCTGCAATTGCTGCTGCTGCGGTTGCTGCTGCTGCTGCAGCAGCGTAAATTGTGTCGTATGTAACAGAGAAGCAGAAGAAAAAGAGGAAGAAGAAGAGGAAGAAGAGGAGGAGGAGGAAGAAGAAGAGGAAGAAGAAGAAGAGGAGGAGGAGGAAGAAGAAGAAGAAGAAAAGAAATTAATTTCTTTTTTTTTTCTTTTATAAGAAGAAATATTATTTTGTACTTTTATACATAAATCTTCTTTTCTTCCTTTTTCTTCTTTTTTTTCTTTTTTTTCTCCTTTTTCTTCTTCTTTTTTTTCTTCCTTTTCTTTATTATTAATAATATTATTATTATTTATATAATTAATTGTACTATTATTATTTATTTCTTCTTTTTTTTCTTCTTTTTTTTCTTCTTTTTCTTTTAATTCGTTATTAAATTCCTTCAATTTTTCTTCCATCAATTTTATCCAATTTTCTTCTTTTTCTTTTTTTTCTTCTTTTTTTTCTTCTTCTTTTTCTTCTTTTTTTTTATTTATATTATTTATTCCTTCTTCTTCTTTTTCTTTATTTACTCCTTCTCCTTTTCCTCCTTGTTCTTCTTTTTTTGTTGTATATATTTCCTCTTCTTCTTCTATACAATTATTATTATTTATTTTTTCTTCTTTTTCTTCTTTTTCTTCTTTTTCTTTATTTATATTATTATTTATATAATTATTTTTTTCTTCTTTTTCTTTATTATTATTATTTATTTGTTTATTTATATTTATATTTATTATTTTTCCTTCTTCTTCTCCTTCTTCTTCTTCTCCTTCGTCTCTATTAATAATAATAATTTCTTGTTTTTTTATATTTATTATTTCTTCTTCTTCTTTATTTATATTTATATTTATTATTTCTCCTCTATTAACAATTGGCTGTCCTCCTGCTGCTGCTGCTGCTGCTGCTGCTGCTTCTGCTGCAGGGGGCGCTGCTGTTAGTGTTAGTGGTGCTGCTGCTGGTCCTGCTGCTAGTATTGCCGGTGCTGCTGCTGCTGGTCCTGCTGCTGGTCCTGCTGCTGCTAGTATTGCCGGTCCTGCTGCTGCTGGTCCTGCTGCTGGTGCTGCGGCTGCTAGTATAGCCGGTGCTGCTGCTGGGGCTGCTGCTGGTGCTGGTGCTAGTATAGCCGGTGCTGCTGCTGCTGGTCCTGCTACTGGTGCTGCTGCTAGTATAGCTGGTGCTGCTGCTGGTGCTGCTGCTGGTGCTGCTGCTGGTGCTGCTGCTGGTGCTGCTGCTAGTATAGCCGGTGCTGCTGCTGGTCCTGCTGTTAGTACTACTGGTGTTGCTGCTGGTGCTGCTGGTGCTGCTGTTGCTGCTGCTGCTGATGCTGGAAGAATGTCTCCTTGCTGCATATATACATCACTTACTAATACAGGGAGAATTATTGTTGGTGCTGGTGCTGCTGCTGGTGCTGCTGCTGGTGCTGCTGCTGCTAGTACTACTGGTGCTGCTGCTGCTGGTACTGCTGCTGGTCCTGCTGCTAACACTACTGGTCCTGCTGCTGCTGGTCCTGCTGCGGGTCCTGCTGTTAGTAGTACTGGTCCTGCTGCTGCTGCTGCGCCTGTTGCTGGTCCTGCTGTTATTACTACTGGTCCTGCTGCTGCTCCTGCTGCTGCTCCTGTTGCTGGTCCTGCTGTTAGCACTACTGATCCTGCTGCTGCTCCTGCTGCTGGTCCTGCTGTTAGTACTACTGTTCCTGCTGCTGCTCCTGCTGCTGCTCCTGCTGCTACTGGCGCTGCTGGTACTAGTGCTGCTGGTGGTGTTAATGCTGCTACTGCTATTGGTGATGCTGCTGCTGCTGCTGGCGATGCTGCTGCTGCTGCTGCTGCTGCTGCTACCCTTGGTGATGCTGCTGCTACCCTTGGTGATGCTGCTGCTGCCCTTGGTGATGCTGCTGCTACCCTTGGTGATGCTGCTGCTACCCTTGGTGATGCTGCTGCTACCCTTGGTGATGCTGCTGCTGGTGATGCTGCTGCTGCTGCTGGTGATGGTGCTGCTGCTGCTGCTGCTGCTGCTGCTCGTGATGCTGCTGGCTCCGAGGCTGCTGCTGCTTTTTCTGCTGCCTGTGCTGCTGCTGGTGATGCTGCTGGTGGTGCTGCCGGGCTTGTTGCTTCTGCTGCTGCTCGGGCTGCTGCTGCTGCTGCTGCTGGTTCTATAAGAAAGTCATCTTGCTGCATATTCATATTATCCATCCAGTAGGGATATAAGTCTGGTGGTGGTGGTGGTGCTGCTGCTGCTGCTGCTCCTGTTGCTGCTCCTGCTCCTGCTGCTGCTGCTGCTGAAGGCACTCCATCTAGCTCCCTATCCATATTTTCTATCAAAAAGGAAAGGAGGTCGTCTTCTGCTGCTGCTGCTGCTGCTTCGTCTGCTGATGCTGGTGCTGCTGCTGCTGCTGCTTCTGCTGCTGCTGCTGTCAGCAGCTCGTCCTGCTGACTTATATCCCCTGTCCAGAAAGACAAAAATTCTTCCTTCTCCTCTTCTGCTGCTGCTGCTGCTGCTGCTGCTGCATCTGCATCTGCTGCTGCTGTTGCTGCTGCATCTGCTGCTGCTGCTGCATCTGCTGCTGCTTCTGCTGCTGCATCTGCTGCTGCATGTGCTGCTCCTTCTGCTGCTGGCGGAGAAAGTGCTGGTGTTGATGGTGTTGCTTCTACTTCTGCTGCTGCTGCTACTTCTGCTGCTGCTGCTACTTCTGCTTCTGCTGCTGCTGCTGCTTTGAGCAGCTCGCTCTGCTGCGGTGTTGTGTCATCTACCCAAACAGGGGAAGTTATTCCTTCTCCTTTTTCTCTTTTTGCTGCTGCTCCTGCTGCTACTTCTGCTGCTGCTGCTGCTACTTCTGCTGCTGCTGCTGCTGCTGCTGCTACTGGTGACTGCGCTATTGCTGCTGCCAGTGGCGATGTTGCTGCTGCTGCTAGTGGCGACGTTGCTGCTGCTGCTAGTGGCGATGGTGCTGCTGCTGCTTGTGGTGATGGTGCTCCTGCTGCTGCTGCTGCTGGTGCTGCTAGTGGCGATGGTGCTGTTGTTGCTGGTGCTGGTAGTGGTGATTGTGCTGCTCCTGCTGCTGCTGCTAGTGGTGGCGCTGCTGCTGCTGCTGCTGCTGCTAGTGGTGACTGTGCTGCTCCTGCTTCTGGTGCTAGTGGTGATTGTGCTCCTCCTGCTGCTGCTGCTAGTGGTAACGCTGCTGCTCTTGCTGTTTGTAGTGGCGATGCTGCTGCTGCTGCTGCTAGTGGTGAGGCTGCTGCTGCTGCTGCTGGTGCTAGTGATGATTGTGCTGCGCCTGCTGCTGCTGGTAGTTGTGATGCTACTGCTAATGCTGGTGATGCTGCTGCTGCTGGTGACGCTGCTGCTGCCGCCGCTGCTGCTGCTGGTGGTGATGCTGCTGGTGATGCTGCTGCTGCTTCTGGTGGTGGTGGTGGTGCTGCTGCTGCCTCTCCTACATACTGCAACGTCTGTTGCTCTGTTGCATGCAGCCCCACAGCAGCAGAGTCTCCTGTTTGCTGCTGCAGGTGCAACAGCAGCTGCTGCTGCAGTTCATGCTGCTGCTGCTGCTGCTGCTGCTCTTCTGTTTGCTGCTCCCTCTTTGCCCTCTTCTTAGGGGGCTCATCGTACCATTGGTTGTCGGAATCAGCACGCTGCTGCTGCTGCTGCTGCTGCTGCTGTTGCTCCTGCTGCTGCTGCTGCAGTATAGTATCTGCGCCTCCTAGTAGCTCTATTTCTCTGCACAACTGCAGCAGACTATTTTGTTCATCTGCTGCTGCTGCTGCTGCTGCTGCTGCTGCTGCATGCGGTGTACCATCATCACCATCATCAGGAGGAGCAGCAGCAAGTCTTCTTCCTTTTATATATTTTATATCTTTTTTTTTATTTAATAAAAAAAAACAAAAATTAAATAAAAACAGGAGAATTAAGGAGGAAGAAAAAAGAAAAAAAGAAAAAGATAAATTACGGTGTCTCCTCTTCTTCCTGTCTCCTAATTGCTGCTGCTGCTGCTGCTGTTGCTGCTGATGCTGCTGCTGTAGATGGACTGCATTCTGCTGTTGTACTACTTGCTGCTGCTGCTGATACTTTACTACTTCCCGCTGCTGCTCCTGCTGCTGCTGCTGCTGCTGCTGCAGGGGGTGGGTCCTTATTAAGGGAGGAGTATATAGCTGTTCCTCCTCAAGGGATACACCAACATCTAATACGTCAGCAGCAGCAGCAGCAACAGGGACAATCATGGATCGTGACGTAGCAGCAGCAACAGCAGCAGCTGCTGCGGTGTATGCATATACACCTCGTGCTGCTGCTGTTGCTGTTGTGTATATTAATGCCTTAAGGCATCTAATTAATTATTTTATTTAATTAAATAAAAAAATGTGTATAAGAGTGCTGCATATACACCCCGTGCTGCTGCTGGTGTTGCTGCTGCTGCTGCTGCTGCACAGGAAGAAACAAATAAGAAAAAAAAAAGAAAACAAACAAAATTAAATTAAATAAAAAAAGAAGAAACAACAACAAAAAGAATTCCTTGCAGGGGAAGAGAGAAAGGAAAAGAATAACAAGACAAAAAAAGGAGCAGCAGCATCGGTTGCTGCTGCTCCTGCTGTTGCTGCTGTTGCTGCTGTTGCTGCTGCTGCTGCTGCACGATCTTCGTGTGTCACATCAACAATTTTTTTTTATTTTTTTATATTTACTTTATTTATTTATATTTATATTTATATTTTATTTTATTTATTTATGAATGCAAATAAACAAAAGGCAATTAGCAGCAACAGCACAACTTGGGGCTGCTCGTTTGCTGCTGCTCGCCAGCCGGTGCTGCTGTCGCTGCTGCTCCTTCTGCTGCTGTTCCTGCTGCAGCAGCAGCAGCAACAGCAAATTTAGACCTAAAACTAGGGAGACACTAACAAATAAATATTAATTTTTTAGCTGTTAAACCCTAAACAACGAACTGTACAGCAGTGCAGCAGCAGCAGCAACAGCAGCAGCAACAGCAGCAGAGGGGGGAGATCGAGGATGGGACTCGGTCTGTTGTATAGCAGCAACTAGGTATTTAATTAATTAATTAATTATTTATTTTGTTAGTTAGTTAGTTAATTATATTAATTAAATTAATTAATTAATTAATTAATTAATTATTTCTCCTTTTTGTTCATAAATAGAGAGGTGCACACACAGCAGCAACAGCAGCAGCAGCAGCAGCACGAGTCGCTCGATTCATAGAGCAAAGAGGTGCATAGACACCACAAAACATCGCTGTTTCTCCCTATACACCACACAATAAATTAATTAATTAAATAAATATTTTATTTCTTTTTTTTCCTCCCTTGTTACCCTACAATTAGATCTGCTGCGCCTGCTGCTGCTGTTGCTGTTGCTGCTGTTGCTGTTACAGCAGCAACAGCAGCAGCAGCAGGACAGGTGCCACCGAGTCTAGATCTAATCTATACAAGAGGGACAAAAAGAAGAGCAGCAAGAAAAAGAAGAAAAAAAGTAGACACTTTTCTTTATTTGTCTCCTTTTTCTTCCCTTTTTATAGATAGTCTGCATCTGCATGCATAATAATAATAATAATACTTTATTATTATATTTATTTATTTGCTGCTGCTGTTGCTGTTGCTGCTGTTGCTGCTGTTGCTGCTGTTGCTGTTGCTGTTGCTGCTCTGCTGCTGTCGTGAATGCATGCATGCACATTATATAGGCATATTATTATTATAATTAATAAATAATTTACTGCTGCTGTCTTTATCCTCCCCTAACCCTAAACCCTAAACCCTAAACCCTAAACCCTAGAAGATGTATATAAATAAAAATGTGTCTCCTTTCCTCTTTTCCTGCAATGCAGCTGCTAGCTAGTGTCCCCTCCTCCTCCTCCTCCTCTTTATGTGTCTGTCTTTCTTTCTTTTTTTTCTTCTTTTCTTTTTTTTTTCTTTTTTTTTATTATATTGTCTTTTTTATTTAATTAATATTTTTTCCCTTTTTTCTTCTTTTTATGTAATTTACTGATGCTGTACATCTAATTAAACAAACAATAGCAGCAGCAACAAGCGTATGCTGCTGCTGCTGCTGCTCTTGCTGCTCCTGCTGCTGCTCCTCCTCCTGCTCCTGCTGCTGCAGCAGCAAACATATGCTGCAGCAGCAGCAGCAGAGAATTAGCACTGCAGCAAACCTTCAACCACATCTAAGGAATTATATAAGACGTATTTATAAGAAGGGCCCCCCACTTAAGGGGCCCTCTGAAAAGGGTACCTCCCTCTACTACCTCCCTCTACCTCCCAGGGGTACCTCTGAAAGGGCCCTCTTATGGGGGCCCCTCTTAAGGGGCCCCCATATATATATATATATA